TTATTATTTCATTATTATCATTAATTTTCATTTTATTTGTGTACATTTTCCACTGTTAAGAAGGACAACGAAGTGAAAAAATGGATGACGTCGGACAAAGACAACGGGAATATAAAAAAAAGAACACACAATTTGAGTTTGTTCTCGCATCACCTACTTTTGCCGATATCTGTCTGACCCATTAGAACTGGGAAATAGCAAAAAGATCCGATATAAAAAAGCAGAAAAAACCCCCAACGAACGCATATAATCATATGAAAGACTTTGAGCTGTCTAGACCAGTAACGGGGCTACATTTTGCGAGGTAAGTGTAAAGTAACAGACATTTGGGCACATACGCTCGAGAAGTAAGCGTCTATTGTCTGTCAGCAGGTAGGTGCGTCTATTGTCTTCCTGCACAAAGGGGGGAACAGTTTTTTCCATTAGATCAGTTTCGCCAAATCTACTGTGAGAACTTGCCACAGATGGGCATTGTGAACAAATTCGCAGGCTGGAGGTTTGTAAAAGCAAAAAGCGTTGTAAGTGTTCTCCAACGGAAATAGAAAGACGTAAATATAGCGCATTTAGTCTTTCTTTTTCTCTTTGTCTGTCTGTCTATTTTTCTGTCATTCGACACACTCCCCCTCCCCCACCCCTCTGTCTCGACCTCTGTTTCTCTGTCTATCTTTCTGTCTGCCTGTCTGTCTGTCTGTCTCTCTATCCCTCTGTCTCTCTGTCTATGTATATTCCATACCTCAAAAATTCAACATACACATTTTTAGTATTACATCTTCTCTTTTTTTTGGTGAAAGTTTCAAGAAGATTGGATGACAAATGTTGGAGTTATTTTAAAAAGTATAATATACAGAAAAACTGTTTTTTGAGTAAACGGGTGATAAAGAAAAAAGAAAAGACTGACTGTATGGGGAAATGGTGGTGACAAACATGCCGGGTATGGGAAGAAATAAGACTTTGTTTATAGGGGGTTCTTATATGCTATGAAATAGTTGTAATCGAGGCTGGAGAAGCTAAAAATGTCCACAACTCAAAAACTTTCATTCTGACCCGAATCAGGACTTTTGGGATGTAGCCTCCCCCC